TGGGCATCGACCACATTAGATACACCAGCTGCGAACTCTGAATGCAGCATGCAACAATCCACCACATACCATCTCTCCTGCCCTTAAAGATGGTTATGACAGATGGACCGCAAAGTCATGGCTTAAATGAATTCAACAGACATCTTAAAGGGATGGCCCATAGACTAACAGAATGATATCTATATATACCTATATATGTATATCAAAGATAGGAAAAGTGATGGTGATTAAAGGGATAGTGTAGGAGCTGGGCATGACGTAGATGGTATAAAGTAAGGGGTAGATTATGTCATTGTTTTAGGCAGGGATAGACTTAATTTTCAAAAGAAGCTGGGAGGGGACACAACCAGGATAGCTGACCCAAACTAGCCAAAGGGATATTTGATACCACATTACTTCATGGTCAATACATAAAGGGAGTGGGCCTAGCTGGGGCAGAGGAGTCACTTCTTGGGAATGGGCTAGGCATTGGATACTGAGCGGTGAGCAAATTGCATTGTGTATCACCCACTCTTACTAGTATTGTGGTTGTTATTTTCCTCTTCCTTTGCTATCCTATTAAACTGTCCTTATCCCAACCAAGTTTTAATTTTTTCTCTTCTCCATCCCACAGTGGATGCTTCCTCCAACAAATCAAGTAATAGTGAAAGATCTTGCTCAGAATTCTGGGGTGGGGGCAGATAAATCTTTTGATGCAGTAGAGGCCAAAGTATCATTTGATCTTCCGAATACTTTGGAAGGAAACAAATGCAAAAAACCCCACCACAAAACTGTTTTAGACATAGCACTTCTATGCATCTGAGATAAGCCTGTGATACACATGCACTAGTTTAAGCCACCATCACCTTGCTATTGAGACAACTAAATTTTTGAAGAAGCAAACATTTGCTTTCCTTACCTGGGCTGTAAATACTGCTATAGTAGGTCAAATTCAGACAGTTGGCATACAAGTAAGGAAAACGTCTCACCTTCCCTGTCTACAGACTTCTGTCCACTGTAGTTAAAAATACTCATCCTTTAGCCTAACAGTGTCTGTGGAATTGTTTAGAGTTGCTATATAACTAGCTGCCTCCCCTCTACAGAGAGGGGACTGAATGCAGCCCCACTTCTGCATAAGATAATTGCACAGTGTAGCTACACAGTTGTGAAAGGAGCTATTTCAGAAGGAAGGGAAGCTCCATGCTATGTTCTTGAATTTGCATTGAGTCCAGAATGTTATCAGTCCATTTTTAGAAACACTTTGAAACAAATGGCACAATTTTATGCTATTTATTTAGCAGGATTTTACTTTTTTTTGGAGTATCTCCGCATGAATGATTTTTAATGAAAGTTTTAGAAGCTTCCAATGGTTCTTATCGATCCCGTATGAGTTGATGTTTTCTCATGTATATACGTCATCTCAAACAACTCAGATAAATCAATCTGTGTTTCCAAAAATATGTTTTTCGTTAATGGGAGTTTGAGCATTGAAAATTTAACTAAAGCCTGAAGAATTTAGAGTTTGAACATGGTGTGTGAAAGCAGATCTGTCAAACAAGTCTTTCAAATGAAAATTTTTTAATCTTTTATCCTTCACAGTGTTGAGAATCTAGGTGTCTCAGTGTCTGTAGGACTTGGTTCTCCATTTTTCTGAGTCCTTCCAGAGCATGCTATCACCATCAGCAGCATCTAAGCTGCCAATATCAAGGTTCTTCCCATTATGGGCTCAGGATCATGACCCAGTTCTGTTATCAGCTGTTACTGGTTGGGGAAGAACTATCTTGACAGTTGACATTGATGTCCTTTCCCAGGCAATGCCAGCAGATAACCAAAAAATCTCTCATTACTAGAAGAAAAGCGTATTAAGAGGGAGATATATTTTAAGAGGGATATATGGCTCTGCAAAGTATATGTTGTACCCTTGTACCTGTGAGATGACATCTAGCTTATAATGGGAGTAAATTCCCAATCCTGTTCCCAAAAAGCCCTTCTCAGAGTGTCAGGTGGATTTCTAGGGGTTGACTGGGAATGTATTGAAAGGGGCAGGGGGAACATTTCCACAAGAGCTAACAGCAGAGAGAGGAACAAAGCCTGGAGAAGGATGCTATGGCAAAGCTAGCCCCGGGTGGTGAAGAAACTCCTAGTAGCAATGGGACCAAGACTGTTCACTACCAGAAGAGTTGTGTGCAGCTGTGCAACCCCTTTTTAGCCTTTTAGGACTATTCATCAGGACAGTGACTGGCACAAGTACGGATTAAATGTCTTCTGTCTTTTCAGGACTTCTAGTTATTTCCAGCAGCAAATCTCAGAAGTGGTGCAGGAGAAGCTGAGGAAAACAGCAGAGAGAAAACTGTTAGATATCGTGCTGGATACCCATGAAATGAGCAAGCAGCTGACTCAAGAGACTGAGCCATGGTTATGATACTCATGTGTCCTTCGTTGTGTGGCCAACTGCACTTTGCGAAAACAGCATAGTCTCCTATTCTGTAGTTCTGGAAGCTTTAGTGCTCATTTGAAGTAGCACTTTATGAGCCATTACTGTATTTTATTGCAGTATTGTATGCATGATGCAGGCCAGGGTGAATTAAATAAGCAAGGTTGTTTTTAGCAGAAAACAAAGTTAGAGCTTATATTCTAATAAATCTGTTGCTTTCAGCAGAAGGTAAGTTATGATCTGTATGTCTAAACACAATCCTCACCATAGGTACTTGATTTTATTTTTCTTCTCATCTCATTAGTCTTGCTTATTCTTAGTCATTATATGAGTAGTAACATTGTAAATCTACTTATTTGCCTTAACTGATTGATTCTTCCTGGCTTTTCCTACATAACGTAGTTTTGATGATAACCTTGCATTATTTCATGAATACAAGCAAGAGTGAGCCACAGGAAACTGTTAGTGTGTTTATTTTGTTATGTAGCTTCCTTACACATGCACATTAGGAACATGAGGACTTAAAGGCAGTCATTTCAGCAGTAAATGACTCAGTAGGTCCATAAAAGCTCCATCAGTGCAGCAGTTGTTTAATTGCATTTATTTCTGGCATGGATTCAAGGCACTGCTTTATAGGATACGCTTGATCCAGAACATGTGCAAGTCAATCAGAATTCATAGATTGCCCAGTATGTATAGCCAGCTTTGTCTCAGTTGGTTAGTCATTATTAGTGGATTCATCCACAGTTGATTTTTGCACATTTTCTTCTTCTTAAAAGCCAGCCACTGGGCTCTTCCACCAACAGCTCAAATAATAGATTGTTCTTGTCTTTACAACTCATCCATTTATATGTATTTACTACTGCAGGAAGTGATGCAGAGGCTCTGTCTCACACTTGCTGCACAAGAGTAAGTGACCTGGATGTGACTACAGCACAGACAATGCCCTCACTAACCAGGGCACCATCCCACAAGGTCTGGACAGGGTAGGCAGAGCAGGATTGTGATAACAGGGTCCACCAGGAATCCCACAGAAGAAGAAATCAGTATCAGATGCAAGCTTTAACCAAGAGACAGAAACGAATTGCTTACAATATTGGGGCAATACCCATCCAGAAGACAAAACCAAAAATCAGTTATTTCTATAACAACTCAGACAAGAGTTGAATGCCCAGAGCTGAGCTTAAATGCAGTATACAGGCTAATGGCCAGAGGATGCATGGGTGGTGGTCCCAAATGAGGCCGATCAGGGTAGTTAAGGCCTATTACTGCCCTCAGGGTGCTGACAGGCTAGTCCTTGATCACTGATCTGCCTTTTGTCAGAGTTTTACTGACACACTGAAGCTTTTCCAAAGATTTTTTAATGAAATAATTTGGGATGCCTGTAGTTTGCTATAGGATCACCAAAGTGAAATATAATATGTTTATTTCCCTGAATGCTGAATTTCAGAAAGCAAAGAGGTCAGCATTAATGGCTGCATACCGGTATCCACAAGCCCTTGTCTTATATTTTTACTTCTGATTATACCCTAAAAATTCCTAAAAGCAGTAGAGGAAAGGGCTTGCTTTGGGAAGATTCTTTCATGTCTGCTCATTCTTAAGGAGACAGAGCATATTTGGCATCCCACCTGAGCAGACTACTACAGGATTTTTTTTTTACTGCGGTAGGAGCATTTATGCTGTTTGTTGTCATCTGTGGAAAGGAACTGGGCACAGCAGAGTGGTGTGGGAGGGATCAGCAGTTACCCTCCGCCTCCACCTCTCCTGGATCCTGGACTTATTTTGTGAATTTTGGGACCATGTTCAACAGGTACTTTGCAAGCTAGCCATGCGATCATGTCCAGATCATAAATTTGCTTAATAGCTATGATCAGGGCATGCCACAGGATCAATATTATTTTGCAAGTGCAAGGGTAGTTATCTCTACTCAGTTTTAAAATCACATTCATTTACAACTTGCTTCATTTCTCCCACCACCAATGTCTACTAACAGTCTCCTAACAGCAACACCTGTTAATCATGTTTTTGCACTCTTTTCTTTCCTTGCATCTTTCCTCATCACAAAGGAGAAACTCTTGATGAGGTCTTAGTACCACAATGTTTAACCTTAACCTTATTACTATCATCAGTGTTGTGATTTTGCTGGATATTAGAAAAAATGTATTCGAATGTTAGAACCGTGGACCTGGTTTTATATCAAGTTGCCATTCCTATACAGGCAGTGGTATGTGAAGACATACCTCTCACACTTCTTTCAGATAAGCAAGGCTATATACCTTTGTCAGGCAATGGGAAAAGAATATGGTGAGAAACTGCAAAACTTTCTGAGGATCACATATTCTACTGGGAGCCTTTTTACATCTAAGCTGATGCTTTCTGCAGGCAGGGTCACACAGGAGAAGAGGGCCACAGTGTGGCACAGCTAATGGCATGCATATTAATTGCAAGGATTCTACCTTTTGTCAGTATTACTGGTCATGTAAGTATTAGAAATGTGAGGAAACATCTTGAGAGGAATGAATGTCTGGTGAATAATATACCCGAACCATGCTGGATCTTTTAAATTTTGTTTTTTGTTTGAAACCAGTGAGAAGCAGCTTATCATAGATGCCCTGAATAAAAATCAATTCTTGAAGAGACTGGAGCCTCACCAGATCCGAGACATGGTGGAATGTATGTATGAAAGCACTTTCCAGCAAGGGAGTTATGTCATCAGACAGGGAGAGCCGGGCAATCACATTTTTGTGCTCAAAGGTGAATACTGCTTACTTGTACAATGCACAAGTGCAAGAAACAGCAAATTTAGAAGTCTTTGCAGAAAACCACAATTGTGCTCTTCAATCATTTATAATGGCCCTGCTGAGGGCAATGAAAATTTTACCTGTGACTTTTATGAAACAAAAAGCACCTTAGAAACTTGAACCTTGATTTAATACTATTTCATGACCTCTTTCATTTCTGAAAGCCTAGAGGCCAGAAAATCATTTCTATTGTAGGTAAAGGTAGAGCCAACCCTTTCTTCTCCAAAGGAAGAGCAGGTATAATTTAAGCATACAGAAAACTGTTCAATTGTGATGCCACTTCTGAAATAAACTTACTTTTCTACATTCGTGACAGCTTATATCAGTTTTCTGTGTATGGGAAATTGAGAGATGAGGGCTAAGTTTACTGTTCTCAAAGCTTAGATTTTTTTTTTTAAACAGCTGCCTTTTTTTTCTGGGAAAAAGCCTAGAAAAAACAAAAACAAGCTTTAGGATAAGAAGAGTTTCCTAAGATAATGCCAAGAGGATTGAAGTAATCTCACTGCAGTCATCTGTGTAGACTGCTACTGTGCTTACACTCAAATCTCAAATTACAGATGAGCCATAGTGGAGTCCAAGTTTAACACCTGAAAGTTGCTCCTAGCAGCAATACTCTCATCATCTCACCACAAAAAAAAGATAAAAAAAGAAAAAAGTCAGTATTTGTGTTAATTTGCATACTTACTCAATTCTGGACCACTAGAAGGCCCATGAATTAGAGCTCATGCTATAAGGAGTGTGTTCTGTTGAGGCAGGAATATTTAAGCTGGGAGCATATTATTATATGTTGTAGAGCCTATCTTCTGTCTTCATATGGATGGATTGGTTTGAAAAACTGACGGTAGCCGTGTTAGGATAACATAGATGGTGCAAGGAGAAAGAGGAGGCAGGATTTGTAACAAATAGCCATATTCTTGCTAGAAAAATGGTAAGATTCTGAAAAACAGATTAAATATGAGGCAGAAGTTGTGCACCTAGAAATTTTTCTGGCACATTAGATCTTTTTTTGAGGAGTCTTGGAGAGAAGAGGTTCAAATTTTTCACAACATGCTTAAGGGAAATTTTTTGGGGGCCTTAAACTATGAAGAAAGTCAGACTTTCTTTGACTTTTGCTAATTTTGTAATACGGCTCAACGAGAATTTCTTAAAGGAAGATTTAATGTGCTTTTCATTTTTCTGCACTCTCCTTTGTATTCTGCACATATATACATAGATGTGTACGAACTGACAAACCTCATGAGTAATTTCTCCTGTGATAACTATTTTTAAGATTTGTTTGTCTACACCACACTAGGCTACCTGAACCAGTACTGACTGACTTGTAGCAAGGGTTTATCCCATCAGGATTTAGAATACGCCTGTTTCATGGCCTTTTTTGTGTTGAAAAGTTTCTGTCAGCTTTCCCTCCCTTCCAAAGCAGATTTGTAGATTAGCAACACATTTTTTAAAAATAAAATGTCTATTGGTTTGTACTCCTGTTTCAAAGCACTGTTTGCATCACTGTTCCCATTCCTGTGTTACAGGGAGTGGTGAAGCCAGAAATATATTGCTTTGTTTTCCATTGACTCTGTGCAGTTGAGCTCAGTTTTAATACCTATTATCCTGATGATTTTTGACAGAGGGCAGTCTCGAAGTCTTTCAGCAGAATAAACTACTCTCCTCAATACCTGTGTGGACAGCATTTGGTGAACTAGCCATTTTATACAACTGCACACGAACAGCCTCTGTGAAAGGTACCTAAGGTTTATTATAACGACGTTGCTTATCTACTTTGGTGAGGTTCCTGTTATATCCAGATTTTCTTTGAAGTTTTAATTTAATAGATGTCTGCATGTTCTGATTATCTACAGTAAGATTATGTTTCCTTCCTTGAGTTCTTTCTGCTTGGAAACTCTAATAGTACTATGCCGTGAATATAATTCCATCACTACCATGACCTTTGATAAGCAATTGGGCATCTCCAAAGTATGCTAGTTAGCTAGATATGTACCAAACTAACTGCTAAGGAAGAATTACGTTGAATGATTGAGTAGCAGCGATAGTCTTTGCTCTTACATTCTTGTGTCAAATGCAACTCTGAGGCTGAAATTACAGTGAGTTTAAGATGCTATTAGAACCATGGTGGTTTTAATAGAGCAGATAAAACCTAATTCGACAAGAACTAAAATAAGTAGGAACTTCTTTTAGTCATTGCACTTCTTTTAGTTCTATGTCATTAAGTTACTGAGTCCTGTCAAGATCTATTTGCACCTGGCATTTGCAACTGGCCTTCGGAAGATTTGAGTTTGATCTCAAATGTGGTAGTGGGAGAGATGAAACCTCTAGGTGAGATGTGCTGCATCTCTGAGGCAAATACTGGCTCTTTGTGTTTATGGGCTAACCAGAATAGAGTTTTTAAGTATTGGTGTGCTACAAATATCCCTCTTCCTGCGTAAGACTGTGTATTCATCCATTAAGTACTGCTTAATTCCTTTTCTAACCTGCCATAATTATTCTGTGACAACCAGTAAATGACCAAATATGATTAAATTGATCATTTCTTCGCTCTTCACCATTCCATAAGTATTACTTGTGTTTGAAGGCTAATTTCTGTTCTTATCTAAATCTGCAGGAACTTTGAATCACAACTAAGTATGAAGAGTTCATGTTGAGTTAAAAAGGAGCAAATGAAATAAACCAAGAAGTTCACTTCAAAAGCTTCTGGTCTTTTTTTCCTGCACCCATTTTAAGCACTTGATCACTGCTGGCTGTGCAGATGGAAGTTATTACATGTAATCTGGTTTTGTTGCTGTCTGATAAACAGAACAGCATCAATAATGTAATTATTTTTCTTACTAGCACACTGTTCTACTTGACTATGTTCCCTATGTTATTTTTTTGCCTCCTGTATAGTGTTAGCACTACACAGTAGTGTTTTGGCATAGTAAGATGTCATGCTGCTTTAGACCTTTTTTAACATTAATTGGTTTTGAGGTCGGGCAAGACTTGTCCAATTATGGACAAGAAAGAGTGTCTGAATACTTAAAAATCACTGCAGAAACTTGCCCCTCCCCAGTAGCTTTCCTGTGATTGTTGTGGCACAAGAGCAGTACAATGCCATAACTGAGCATGACTAGTAAATAGATCTGTGAAAACCTTTTCTTGATGCTGGATCTAGTGACCTTTTAGCTGCAGTCTTTGAAAACTGATAAGTGAAGGGCCTAAAGGAAAGATGGAGAGGGACTGTTTATCAGGGAGTGTAGTGACAGGACAAGGGGTAATGGGTTTAAGCTGAAGGAGGGTCGATTTAGATTAGATGTTAGAAAGAAATTCTTTACTGTTAGAGTGGTGAGGCACTGGAACAGGTTGCCCAGAGCGGTTGTGGATGCCCCCTCCCTGGAAGTGTTTAAGACCAG